ATATATATATATATATATATATATATATATATATATATATATATATATTGATAATGTTTATATCTATTATTAACTTTTCATTTTCTGTTTAAAACAAGAACATATTTTCTGAACATAATATTATATTATGAAAATATATAATAACATGTTTTAAACAAAACTTTTGTAGTATAGTGCAATTAGCTTAATTAGCACAAGATGTCCTGAGCATAACAACGATAAAATACAAGAAAGTAGTCTTGGTTTTGACCCAAAAACAGAGACGTCAACAACATGTATCTCCCGGTCTGCTTCATGAGATAATTACACCCAAGACATTTGATTATTGAAAAGAAAATCATTATAATCCATTGGGCACTTAACATTTAGATAACACTCAAGGTTATTCTCTCTCCTCATGTTTGATGTCACCCCTTTGATGTTTGACACCAATCCAAGCAAAACTAATTCTCTCATCTCATGTACAACATCAATTCAATCTGAGACAATTCTCTTTCCTCACGTTCGACGTTACTAATCCTATGTCCAGAGTGAGCAAGACAGAGTTCTCTTGATTGAACCAAGTTTGGTGCCATGAAGGCACATCCAACACACAATAAATTCTGCATTGACAGACTTACAAAGTTGCTCCCATACAATGAAAATTAGGAGAACCAAGCATGCAATACAATATTTCGTACAAACCAATCATCCACAACTCAAATCCAAGCTTGAATTACACATGCAACCACATTTAATAAGATCAAATCATCAATCATCAATCATCTCATCAAGCTTCAAACACCGAAACCTAACCCCTTCATCATACCATCTAAAAATTTCAACAACATAACCACATTTAATGAAAACTAACAACATACGTCTCAATCAATTCATCAACAAATCAATCATAGCTTCCCTTACCTCTAGAAATCTAAAAATCCAAGAAGAGGAAAAAGGAACTCCGAGCTTTGGCAAGCTCAACACCAACGCAAATCCTGAGCTCCAACAACTTTGAAACGTCACTCGACTGATCAACAATGATCACCTACACCTTTAGGGAGACTAAAAAGAAAAAGGAGAAGAACCAGTCTTTAGAGTTTCTGTCACCAATATATCTCTATAAGATTTCTTAAGAATAAAACTTATGAAACTTTATTCTTAAAAGAAACATTATATACATTTTCTCTTAAGGTCAAGTGTTAAGTCTCAATTTTACCTCTTTTTGGATGAGACTTATTGAACGAATTCCACTCATCCTCTGAACCATTGCAATATAATTGTTCTCTTTTTGGTTCTTTTTGTGTGCAGATATAACTAACCCAAATTTAGCTAACAATACCTTAATACACCTTATTTTTTGTGCAGGTATTGAGCTAGGGACTTGAGGATTGAAGACTCTTAGGATTGGAAACCTAAGAAGCTAAGGAGCAGAGAAGAGGTTCTGCGCCGGGCTCAATATAACCCGCGCTGGGCGTGACAAAAACAGAGTATTTCATCTCTGCCAGTTATATTGCGCCGGGCACAAAAGGAATTGAGCCGGGCGCAAAAGGAATTGAGCCGGGCGCAAAAGGAATTGCATCGGGCTTGTGTTGAGACAGAGAGTGCTTGACTTCTCTGGAAGAACTTGTGCCGGGCGCGAAGAATTGTGCGTCGGGCGCGGAACCCTAATCTGATCTCCCAGGCTCGTATTTGAAGCCATTTTCGGGGATCTTTCTCTCCATTCTCACATTGGGCGCCTCCAGGAGCTGCGGAAGGGATTCCCAGGGCTTGGGATCGTCCGTGTGCGGATCTTTCCTTCGGTTCTTCAGTATCTTTTGTATGTCTTATCCATCGACTCATTCCCGAAGATGCCAAATCAATGGAAACTTTTGATTCACTCACTGTATTTACAGCCAAGGTAAAGCACTGTTTAGCTCATCCACTTTGTTGTGTTTCTAGTTTTAGCTATATAATTATGCTCCACTTTTTTTCTTTCTTTTTATTAATTTTGTTGTGTTCAATTAGGATTACAATGCCACAATTGAGTTCTACTGGGCACCTTTTCTTCTTGAATCAAATTCAGACGATGCTGTCATTCATAGGATATCTGATAGGATTGTCAGAAAAGGTTCAATCAATAAGCATGGCAGAAATTGGAAAGGTGTTGATATTTTGGTATTCAACACCTATCTTTGGTGGATGACTGGCTTGAAGATGAAAATCTTGTATGTTTTACTGTTCTATTCAAACAACATTGCTTAGTCATATCTTTCATTTCTTTTTCTATGGACTTTGAAAATAATATATTTTTATGTTCTTCCAATTTTAAGGCTTGGATCTTTCGATGATGAAGCGAAAGAGATTGTTGAACTCTCAACAGAGGATGCTTATCGTATGGCTATGAAAAGCATGCTTAGATGGGTGAGGTTGAATATGGATCCAAAGAAAACTAGAGTCTTCTTCACAAGCATGTCACCTTCACATGGAAAGTGCGTATAATTCTCTTTTTTCCCTGTCTTTATCTGTCTCTCTGAGGCACATACATACACATCACCATGATTTTCTAAGCTACTATTAAAAACAGTAGAGGAAATTACACCGAAACCTTATGAAGTTTTGTGAAATTATACAAACACTTCTCTATCTTTTTCTAGTCATTACTTTAATCTCTTTAATTATTTAAAAAATATTATATTGTGATTTCTTATAGGGTATTAATTTATGTTAAAAAAACATATAAGTGTAAGTGAAATTTTATGAAACTTCACGTGGTATTAGTGTAATATACTTAAAATGATAATGTACACACATACACGTCAATGTTCTTTACCAATGCCAATGTGCCAATAACCTAATGTTTCATAAATGTATGACAGAAGCATAGATTGGGGAGGTGAAGAAGGAGGAAATTGTTACAATGAAACAACTCTAATCGATGATCCAACATATTGGGGCTCTGATTGCAGGAAGAGCATAATGGAAGTAATAGGAGAAGTGTTTAGCAAAACCAAAGTGCCCATTACATTTTTGAACATCACACAACTTTCTAGTTACCGTAGAGATGCACATACTTCAATATACAAGAAGCAATGGAGCCCGTTGACTCCAGAGCAATTAGCTAACAAGCTAGACCGTTGTCAAGAGAAATCTTTAAAAACATGTAAACTTCTTAGGAATTTCTTAACTCTCAGAGTCTCTCAACATCTCATCTTAGAACATTACAACACACAATTCTTGTTAAAAAATAATAATTAATTAAAAAAAAACTTAAAGTGTTATAATTATAGGGTCTAAAAACATGAGTTTTAAATTTGGAGAATAAAAAAATGATTACTCCAAATTTAAAGAACTAAAAACAAAATTAAACCAATAAATATAAATATTCATATATCATTGCTCTCGAAAGAAAATGGTTAATAACAAATTAATTTCCTATTACATTATTAATAAACACGACGACATGTCTTCTTCGTGTAGATTATATTTTTTTAAGATCATTTTGTATATGTAACTTTTAAAACACCTTTTCTTTTTTATCTTTTATTTATTTATTTTCTTTATTTTCACGTATTTTTTTTAAATAAAACTTCTAATAATTAGTACCCACTTATATAGTGTCACTTTATTTATCGTATTTTATCGAGCAGACCTTAATATTATTAACTATTTACTTATATTTAATTTTAATTATTTTTATTTAATTTAATTTATTTTCATATCAAGTCATGTGGTTATATTTTTTATTATTTTTATTTCTTTCACTTAGTGTTTAATAATAGCATTTAGGGTATTAAAAGATATTTTTCCTAATTTTCCTGGCGTGTAGGGTGGGAATGCACAATTAAACCGTGACTGAGGACCTCACATATAATATTATTATTATATATATGGCTCGCAAGCCCATACAAACTAGAAAGCAAACATATTTGGTCGCCCGCGATTCTGGCTTCTCTCAACAACATAAAGCTATCTTCGTATCATCAAATATGAAGGTGATATCACTTGAAATGATTAGGTAAATTACATGCTTCTTATTTAATTATTTGAAAATAATAAACTCTATATGAATACTGCCATGAAGCAGAGAATAGTTATAAAGGTTCACGTGGAGAGTGAGAAATGCAGAAGCAAAGCTCTGAAAATTGCTGCTAAATGCCAAGGTGCACGCACGTGTGTCATATTCAATAATTTGCATTCCGTTTATTACTTAACTATCTATTTTAAATTTGAATAGCCGGTAAGTACTGGAAATACCTAGCTATATATTGTTTGTTGGATAACATTTGATTCAAAACTAACTAGCAGCCTTTAATTAAATTTTTATTCATCAGCCAAAGTTTTCATATACATATGTATATATAGCAATTAATTTTATGTGCACGGTGCTGTGCTTTTTTTTTTTTTTTTTTTTTCGTGTTATAATGTTATATATATGTATCAAAATACAGGTGTGTTGTCGTTATCATTAGAAGGAGAAAGCAGTGATCATGTGGTGGTAGTTGGAATTGGAATTGATGCTGTGTGCTTAACCAATAAGATGAGAAAAAAGTTCCGCTATGCTACGCTGTTAAGTGTTGAAGATATTGTGGAAGAAGGAGCCGAGGAAGGTGACCAAGATGGAGAAGAAGAAATGACGCCAAAGGAAAACTCACCTTTACATCATTTTCATAACTCTCTTCCACGTCCAATACGTGCCACTTATCTACCACCTTCTCCCATCTACCTTCATGTAGTTGATGATTCATTCCAAAATACCTGCTCCATCCTCTAAGTTCCTAGGTATCTGCTTGTGATTGTATGGAGAAAGCTTTTGAGTTTCCATCAAAAGTATAAAACCATTCATGAAAAAAAGTGAGGTTGCAAATGCTGAGGTAGTGTTGCAGTTGATAAAATATAATTTAGATATTGGTCTTATTATTGTAAAGGTAAAGTGTTCTTCTTTTTCCTTTATTGAATGGTCTGTGAACCCTCTAGTACTCTTGATGAAACCTCTGTAAAATTGTGGCACGTGTATATAGGTTGGGTGTTCCATAAACATATTCTATTAAATATTTTCTCTTTGCTGATTATAAAGAAATATAATCAAAGCATATTTAGCGATAGGATATAAAATTGTAATGGCAACGGAGCGGGTCGGGTATGAATTTCATGATATTTGTTTTTGTTCCTATAATTTAAACTTATTTCTATACTTGTATTTGTAACTGTTAGGTATATTATTTTTATTTCATCCCTGTTCTTGTCGGATATAGGATATATACTCGTACCTGTATTTGTATCTGTAAAAAATAATTATTATTTTTTTATAAAAAAATATACAATATTTTAAATTATTTTTTTTATTGTATTATAATTATAATTAGATTATTTCTTTATTTCATTTTAATCAAGAGACTTTTTAATAATTAAATAATTATAAATGTTTCACATTATAATAAATAATCACACATAATAAAATATTAAAATTCTTTAATACAATTAAATCAGGAGTGGGAACAGGGATAGGTACGGGGCGAGTAGGTATATACTCGTACTCGTACCCGATTTAATATATCGAATTTTACTTGTACTCATACTCAATCAAATTGAATATTTTTCATCAAAATTGGAACGGGTTCAGGTGGTATTATCTACGAGTATAGATTTATTTCACAATAAAATGATGATGAGGTTTCAAGTTCCCTTAGATTTGGAAGAGTATGTAAAATAAGCCATTAATAATGTCACTGAAGTTTCATTTGCTAGAAATCAATCTAGAATGACCTAAATTTCAAAAGAGCTATGGAAGTTTATGAAGACATAGTAATCGATTAGATTTTCTGCCAAAATTTTATGTATACAAAGTATACACACAGACCCTTTAATTTATTACACTTTATATGCCCTCTATTATTTTCAATTCTTTTGAATAAAATATAACCTCTAGTTTTTTTTAACTGTTATATTATAAATTTCAATTTTATTTTAAAAATAAAATAAAATATTTATATATTATCATATTATTCTTATTTTATGATATGTATTTTATAAACTTTTATATCAAATCAACTTTTTTTTCTTCGATCAAATTAGTTTTCTAATTAGTTTCACAGTTTTTATTTTATTTGATTACAACAACTTTGTATTGAATTAAATTGGTTGATAAACACTTATAGTCTGCATTTTAAACCATTGACATGGCAAGTATTAAATGTCCTATATTCCAACATAGAAAATTCCTCAAGAAATTAAAGCAAGTTTCCGTTTGTCTCTATCCATAATTATTTCAGTGTTCTTCCTGTACTTTATAGAAATTTCCTCAGCGTGTAAATAGGGACAGAAATGTAGCGTGCTAATTATCTTTGTTTTTATTCTCATATTTTATATCTATTTTTTTTGTCTTTATATCGGGTGATATGAAATTTGTGTTTTTATTTTTTTATCTGTCGAGTATGGAATATATTTTATATATTTTTTATTTAAAAAATAATAAAATATTTTTTTAAAAAATAAAAATAAAATTTTTAATCGAATAACAATTTGTTCCGGCCACAGGGTGCACTAGGGTTTTTTCCTAAGTCAAGCCTTAGAGCCAGAGCATTCAAGAGTGTAATCTGTCTTCCTAGCCTTAGGGTTTTAGGTTTTATAGTTTGTTGTCCATGGGCCTTATAGGCCCCGAGAACGTAGAGATTTCCTTAACTGCTTTTATTCGGGGAGCGTCCTGGAGACTTCGTATTGGGATACGACCGACCAAAACCAGCCTGAGGGGGCCTGGTCGCATGATGATCGAGAGTGCCTCCTCTGACCAGAGAGATCGGTATTGGGACGACCTCCCCTATGTCAATGGGCCAAGTCGGTTAAGGACCGAGTAGCCCTTTATGAGGTCGGTCGAGGTCATACTCGGCCTGTCACAAGTAGAGAGGTCAGGTCGGATCCCAACCTGGACGGTCCACATGCCCTTCAACCCTGAGCCTATAAGGCAAAAGGGCTAAAATGCCTGCTCCTTTGAGGTATCTCGGGAAACGATCGAGACACGTGTCGGACATATTCCGACCTGGACGGTCCACAATTATAAAATTATATTAATTAAATTTTATAAAGTAAAAATTATATAAATATTAATTAATTTTAAAAAAATTAGTATTTAAAATTTAAAACGAATTCGGATACAAAGTGAGTACATCTCTATCTCGGTACTGGATTTAATAAATTCAATATTATTCATATCCATGTTTGACAGCTATTTTCCATCAAAATCAAAGTAATTTCAAAATTTACCATTAATACAATTTTACTTCTCATCCTACGTGTAAATCATTTTTTAACTCTGTAAATACTAGCACGTGCTTATGGGCAGAGAGAAAACTATATTCATGCAAACTTGTATAGACACGAGTAAAAAAAAAAATCAAATGAAAAGCATGATAATGATTTTTCCTTTTTAAAAAGAAGAGTTTTACTCAGTGCTACGTAGCTAGATGTACGTTCAATGGACTTGCGAAGTGCGAACAATACCCCACATAGACTAATAAAATATTATGTAATTTTTACAATGGGCCTTATTGTGCTTTTATATTTTTTTTAATCATTGTAATTTTTGAGTCTTTATTTCGACTTTTATATATGTGCTATTATAATCGTGTTATTTAGTTTAGTGGATCTCTTATGAATGAATCATAATAGTTTTTATGTCTATATTATAAATATGTTAAATGTTGACTATATAATTAGTTTTTCACTCATTTTGTTATAGAATAGTTTTTGACTAGTGAGATAATTTCTTTTAGGTTCTTGGATACAACCTTGGTTCTTATAAAAAATTATTATTTGTGACAAACTATTCTCAAATTAACAATCATTAGAGATTGTATCATTATTATTTTCATTCCTTACCTTAATTTAACTTTTTCTTTGTTTTCTCCAATTTATGAGAATCCTGTTCAAGCTTGTGTGAGATTGATGCTATAGATCCATTTTTTAAAATTCATTCTTTATCGGTATCTTTATAATTTAGGTATTTTGAAACATGTTTCTACTTGTGCATTTGTATTTTTTAGCCCAAAGTAAAATGTTAATAATTACAGTAATAATAATGACTCTTCGTCCACTTCAAACAATTACTTAATGAATAAATGGTTAATGTAGTCCTTAAATTTAGATGATAATGTCCCATTAGAATCTTCATCATTTTCTTTGACAATTTTAAAAAATTCCAAAGTACAAAAAACAATTTTGAGGACACAGCATTTTCCAAAACAATTTTACCGCACCCAAAACTATTTTTTTTCCCTTTCGTGGTGTAAGTCTTCTCTTCATGGAATCAATCATTAATTAGTATCCAAGTAATATCGTAAATTAACAAACTCTTTGTCGATTAGCGCACATTGACGACACAAGAAATTAAATTTAAAGAAAACACTACCTCGAAAGTTACATACAAAAAGTTGTCATCCACAATATTAATTTTAAATAAATTAATCTTATGAAAATTAACTTCAAGACTTTAAAGAACTGCCTATTATGTTTGATGATTTGACAAATTGATTGACTTTGAGCTTTTTCTCTAATGCAAAGATTAATTGTTTCCACACGTATGTTGGTGCTCTCCAAGGACCAATGGAAGTCTATATATTCTTGGGTCTCCTCTTTTCCCACTTCAATTCCTACTTCCAATAACTCTAAACACAATCCTTATCCAACATGGATGTTAGATCCCATACATCTCTTATCAAATCGCTACAACGATCTCACTTCTTAACATTTCCCTTTAATTAAAGTCCACGTGAATAGGGTTTGAAAAATTCTTGGTTGCCAATGATAAATGTCTCCTCATTAATTATATATGCACTTGGGCTCCATATAACAATTCCCACTTTTCAAGCAGTCCTAATTTCATTATGATTTTTAATTAGTGTCTATTCCTAACTATGGAGTTTGTACAATAATGGTTAATTTTATATGATGCGGTTTTTGATTGAAGAACATGATCAAGTTGAAATAGTATGGATCAGTCAACTCAAGTGCAATCTCTTCGTACTTAATTTTTTCATCATCAATATAATCTTATATATCATTGAGTTATATATGTATAAATAAAAGTCAATAATATATTAAAATTAGGTAGGCGAAGCACAGAAAGCAGAGAAAACTGAAACATGGTATAATTTGCATGTGAATTTCTTGAGTATTGGATGAAGCAGTTGGAAGGTTAATGAGATTCTTGTATATTGTACGTCTTTGAAGGTAACCTAAAAGGCTACAAAACAGCTACAAAGTCCACACTCCTTAGTGGGCTGCACATGCTCATCACCACTTTTATATTTCGCAATTAAATATTTAAATATAGTAATATTATTTCCAACCATCTCTTCGGAGAAGATGGAGTGGCACAACATATTGCATGCTCACCAATGTGTTGCCCACATGCATGTCTTCAGAAATAATCATTTCAGACATGCATTTGTCAATAAAATATGAAATATTTACCATACAAAACAAACACTTATGGCTTGTTTAACTTTTTTCAATCATACAAATTAGATTTAAAGGCTCACCATTGCCATGCCAATGTACACTTGCCAGATATAGCTAGCTAGTTAGGTTTTATTAATCTCTTTTGGCTTTGGTTAATTCCCCTTTTGTCGCGCCCACACACAATTATTACCAACAGAAAAAAAGGCCTCAAGGGAATATGCATGAAATATACTTGATCGTCTATATATATATATATAGATGATATTCGAATACAAGATATGAACATTTGAATAAAACATTCAAGACTCTACATTCAAATACAAAACGCAAGCATTTGAATACAAAACCCACCAATTGAATATAGATACATTCATTTGAATACAAAATCCACCGTTTGAAATGCTTGCATACATATTCAAATAAGTGAAATCCCATTCGAATAAAATATCAAATATATTCGAATAAATGGAGTCTCATTCAAATAAAACATCAAAGAAATGCAACCCATATGAATAAAAGACCAAGAAATGAAAGTGTATTCGAATAAAAAAAATTGACGAAGATAAAGAAATGCAACCCATTTTGAAGCGACCCACATTATTTGAAGTTTTGATGGGATAAAAATATAAGAAAAAAGAAGTTCACTTCTCTCTCCCTCTGTCTTTGTTATTTTCCACTCAATTTTGAGAAAAAATTTACAAAAATGAGACTCATGTTTGAAAAAAAAATTTTGTCTGACTGAACTCCTGTTAAACCATCGAGTAAAAATATTTCAGCTGAAATATGTCGTCACTTCTACACTATTTCGGGGTTCTTTCGATGGAAACAAACTCATTGTTATTTCTTTTGAATTTGAATATATATTTGTTTTGCCATTGGGATCTTTTCAATTTGAGTATGTTTATTGATGCATCTCGTTGATTTTTCTTTTTCACTTCATGTTGATCGGTTACAATTGCCAACTTGGGAAGAATAAATTATATATATATATATATTATGTTTATCGATTGAGTATTATTTTGGTAATGTTATCAATTTGAGTATTTAATAGAATTTTCATGTTAATGGATGGAAAAATCTAGAGTAAGAAGAAAAATAGAATATATATATAAGAATTTTTAATCATAAAAATGATGTAATAGTACTTTTTATTTATAAAATTATAATTTTTTGTCCGTAAATAAAATTTTACTATTGCTAATCCTATATACAAGAAACTAAATAAAAATATCCTTTCGTTCGTAACTATAAGAAATTTAGGGGGGTGTATTGGTTTAGGATTTCGTAGAATTTTATTCATATTCGGTTATGTGCTTTTTGGAATTTTTCTTAATGATTAATTTCTGTTTTGTTTATTTAATTTACTTTCATTTTGTGTGCGGGATTTTTGATTTTATTTATGAATTGGGCGTTTCAGGAATTGAGTAACAATAGGTTCAGTGATCATGATTGGAAGACGGGTGCTGTGGGAAACAGGTATGGACCTTGTGTTTCATCCGCTTCCAACTTTGTTTCAGTTGCTTGGCCTAAACCCTTTTAAGAAGGTGGTTGTTGGTCCTGTGTCACCTGTTTTTCTTTGCTATTTTTCCTGAACATATTTAATGTAATTGGTATATTCAGTTTGAAGCTATATTTTCTTACTACCTTTGTGGAGTTAACTTATGTTGTTGGATAACGTAACTCTCTAGTAAGTCAGCACAAAGTTTTACTTAGTTATTGACTTGCATCATCCCTTTTATGAATTTTTTATTTTATTTAATTTATTTTTGCTTTGTTTATTTATGAATTGGATATTGTGCGGGATTTCTGTTTCAGGAATTGAGTAACAATAGGTTCCGTGATTGGAAGGTTGCAATTTGGTTTATCTGATAGCGTAACTTTGTACTAGCCGTTGAAGTGACCGGTAATCTTATTTTAGATTTTCTTATTATTATTTTTTCAATTCTCATAACAGGATTTAATTTATTCAATTCCAATTCCTTTATCTGTCCTCAATTTGTAAGTAATAACTGATAGGTATGCTTTATCTGTTTAAAATACTACTCAGAATCTCTACTCATGTGTCCACCTCACCTGATGGGTTGTTGTTGATTGCTTGTGCTTGTATCCATAAGTTTTTCTGTTATATTGTGAAAAATGCCAATATGCATGGAGTAAATATTTCTTAATGGAATTTTAAGAATTGTATGCTGTTGTAGATTAGGTTTTGATCTTTGTTTGGTTATTGTAGATCAAGTGTCCTCACCTTATACATTGTTGGCATCTTATGTTTTATTGATTCTGGTTTTTTCAGCTGTTGCTGAAGTTGGAAGAAACAACCTTAAGACTTCAATTGAAAGTTCACAGGTAAAGATAACGATGG